ATATATATATATATATATATATATATATATGTACAAATATGCATTTATTTTTATAAAGTTTGACTTGTTTTGCAGGAATTTGTTTCCAAAATTACAGTATAAGATCAGTGGTTTAGAGCCTGAACGAAAATATGTGGTTTATTTGCGATTTGAACTTGTCGATAACAAAAAGTATGTTTTTAGATTCCACTTCTGCCTGTAATACTTTTTTTGCACTTGTGATACTGCTTAAAAGATTTATTTTTTTAGGTATAAGTACAAAAGTGGAGGTTGGACAGCAACAGAATGCTGTGATCCAGTTGGTTCTCCTGGTTATCTGATGCATCCCGATGGAAGTAAAAAAGGTGAACACTGGATGAAAATTGGTCTTGGTTTTGATCGGGTCAAAATTACGAACAATGCAGACGACCCACGTGACAATGCTAGTTTTACTATGATTGTGTTTAATTACAAAATTTCTTGCTTATAATTTTTATTAATTATTTTATTATGATTAGTCTATAAAATAGTAACTTTTTTTTTTTCAAATGATTTTGATAACTAAGTTTAATGATTATCGTCGTATTTTTTTCAGTCTGTCATCAAAACAAGAAATATTGTTAAATTCAGGTATTACTTCAATCTATGCGTAAATACCGACCCACAGTGGCCGTATTTCTTGCAGACGAGACTCTGCCATACTCCAATGAAATTTTGAAAGTAGCCGAATTTTCTAGCCTAATTCAAGACTTCATTGCCGTAACTGCTTATCAGAATACTCGTATAACCGAACTGAAAATAAAAAATAATCCCTATGCAAAGGGGTTCAGAGAAGGGCCGAAAAATCGCAAACGGTCATTGTCAAGCACAGGTGAGCGATAGTAGTCGATCGTTAAAGTTATTTTTTCATCTTTTACCTAGTAAGTGTAACTGTAGTGCAAAGACAACTATTAAAAAAGTGGTTACTTAATGAAGTCTACTTACAGGAACAACACCGTCTCCGGAGCTTAAAATCACACCAAGTGTGAAAAATGAATACTATAATATGGGGCAGCCGATGCTTTACAACGGTCAATTTCAACAGAATCCTGATTTTTCTTTTCAACAATCCTCACCAATTTACCAACAATTTTATCCATATCAATCATCGCAACAAGTTTTCTCTCAGCTACCAAACAGTTCTCAGTTTTATCAGCCAATGCCCAGTTGTTATTACCAAACCCCATGGTCATTTTCTCCAAGTAATTCGCAGTATATGTTTAATCCGTATCCGCCTAATGGAACTCCATGATTTTTCAGTGGGTAAAATTTCAAATTTTTCAATAACATGGGTAACTGATATTCATTTTGGCTTATTTTTATAAAAAAAGTTTATTTTTTCTGTATCTGAAAATTAA